GGTTGATGCATCTGGCAGGGAAGCACTGGCACTCAGTTCGGACGTGTGCGTTGCCTGCTGCGGGGTGATCACTTGAGTTGAGCAAACTTTCGGAGCAGGTCTTCCTTTACTTCATCGTCATTTTTTGTGCTGATTTTTGGCGGATTCTCATGGAACTTGAAAGCAGGATAAAGGATTTACTATTGTAAATCCAGAAGATACAAGGAAACTCTCTAGCTGTTTGATCATGACTTACGAGCCCCTCGGTGCGGATTAGATGTTTCGACCTGAATAGTCCTATGGGAGAGAAATATATTCGCTTCCCATCCAAGTTGATCTTCTTATGAAGGATTCTCCTCAAATCGGCACTATTCTAGTGAAATAACAATAGCAGTCGGCGGTCACAATAATTTTACACTATTTTAGGGAAAATATATTTGATAGTTGGGAATTATGGGTGGACGTTGACCGTTAGGCCCAGTCTAAGAAGATTATGCAAATACGATTCGTTTACTCATGAGTAGTATGCATGAAAAATGTTGAATAACGTGAAACTGACATTTATTCTGGAATTTTAAAACATAATGGAAAATAGATGACAACTTACAACAATAATAACGATGGTAACAAAGCTAAAAGACAAAACATTAAAGAAATAAATCTTTTCTATATGCGCCACAAAGGGTGAAATGTTATTTGGAAAGGTCTGATAAACATAAGCCATATGGAAACCCATTCCGATGATGGTGCACGTGGTTCATAGGCCTAGACGGAACTTGAGTTTGGGAAGCAGTCCAAGATCCTGCATGTACTCTATTCAAACAAAACCTTCAACTTGGTTTAGGATTTTGTGCAAGTTATAATGGTTAGTCAATGTCACAAGTTAAAATAGAACCATCGATGAGCGACAATTACAAAACACCATGAGAACCCAAAAATGCTATTTAATGTCAGAAAATGAATAAAAGTAATTTTCAAAAAGGCGACGTTTGAGCAAATTTTCGATAAGGCCAAACCTGGTGACAGATGGGGGGGCGAAACGGCTAGCGTCCGCCAAAACATGTACAGGGTATTACTGTATTATGCTCCAGAAGCATGCTGATGTTCGGTCTTTTTCGCTCGTGAACCTAGGGTTGGCGAGGACGGAAGCTGATGGAGCAACCCACAGCTAAACATTACCGCTTCACCAATTACCGCATCGATTCCCGTCCTTATGCTTTTCTTGACCATGTTATCCTGGAAAATTCACTCGGACAGTAAATGAGTGATTCACCCGTTTGACGGCAAAAGTGTGACGCACTGTAGGCGAGGACTTCTGAAAATCGCCCGACCTAATAATGTTATTTGTGCCAGTATATTCCGCCTACCAGCTGATCATCGTGATCGATGAAAATGTCACTCAGATTGCAAACAGCTGTTCAATACTAAGTTGCGTCGGATTTTTCTCGAAATCGAATACATTGGCGAACACGTAATCCCTCCGTATAGCATTCAGCAAGCTAGTTTGTTATCCGCTGAAATAAGGGCTTTATGTACGCAGTTTAGTTTAAGTTTATAAAAAACGATTGTTTCACCGACCGTCTTCTCCATTTATCGAAAGAAACTAGCAACCTCACACCAGTTAGCACTCCACCGAAGGAATCACGCATTCTCTGGAAACCGTAGCCAGTATAATTCCGGTGTACCTGAGCAATGCTCCTGCGCGATCATCTAGTCTATAGTATAAATGTTGAACAAAAGTTGGAGTTTGAGAGCAAACTCTTTTTGGAAGGAATTGCAATTCAGAAAGAAGAAAATCAGCTGAGGAGAAAATCAATGGAATAATGCGGAAAGTGTGGGCAGCGTGAATAGGCATAGGTGGGGAAATTCGAAGTTCAAATAGAATGGGTTGTCCACTGGGTACACGCCATCGTCGGCTATGGAAGTGGCTTTCCTTCCACATTGGTATAGGCACGGAAGGCCAAGACCGGTTTACAATCCTGTTTATCAACCGATTTACATGATTGATGTATGACGAAGGAAACATCCGCAGAAACAAAGAAGACCATACCCTGATCGAAATCACTGGGGACAGAGGAAAACATAAAAGATTTAGTCAAAAAGTTGGTTTGCACAAAACCTATCCACATTAGAGCAAAATCAGCTCATCGCTTTAATTATCGATGTGAAGTGACAAACATTGGCTGTGTTCACCTGATTGCAGTTGTGAGCTCGTCTGAACAACGAACACCTCTGCATTGGCGTGCGATGGTTTGGGTTGGCATTATTCAGTTCCTCGTTTTTCGGTCGATGAGGAGCGGGCAGATGGAAGAATTTGAACATGAAGTCACTTACCAAATAAAGACGTAAAAATCAAATCAACTAGGTTTGCCTAGAAAGCAAACGCCAGTGTCAAAGATACCTAATTATAACAATCAATGCTTATAACCATTGATTAGATTGATCACGAATTCCACAACCAAGAAACCAAATGCAATCCATTTGTCCGATACTCCTGATCAGGATTTCCACAGCCTAGTTGAATCACCCTTGGTCTTCTTCCATTCACCACCTGTCTGGGTCAGAGAATACATCTGGGAAGCCTGTCTGGGGACACGCGAAACAGGTTACAAACGAAGTTCATAAAACAGAATATTCAAAGTAAATCTCTACTATGATAAGCTAAGTCGTTTGTTCTGGTGCGTCGATCTCAAAAACGTAAGCAGTAATCACGTGCAATTACAATCGGACTCACATCATGCGATTGACACAACCGGCGTAATTATGCAGTTTCTTTTCTGCTTTCTCAGATGTTTCCGTGGTGCCGGAGGCTTCCGAATCATCATTATGAACGTTCCAAGGTTGCGCTATTTGCAGCCGTCCAGAACCGGATATGAAAATTAGAATACTAGCTGAGGGTAAAGCGAAAACGTGGAACGCCTCACAGTTGGTCGGAACCTGGAGGAACATCGACGATAAGAAGGTTACTTCGCGTGATGTGGTTATTAAAAATAGACAACGAATGATAGACAAATTTCGAAGCTAATTTTAAAGGTGTTTGAACAGGCTCAGTCGGTGTAGATTTTAAAAGGATGGACTGTGCAAACAGAAGGAGGGCGGTTTCCAATAGTGCCTACTCTGCTTTTGTAGTTAGATATCGCCATGAAATAATAACAATTGCATGATGTTCGCGAATAATTTTAATGATCCTTTAAATGCATTAATTTGCATTATGCCTCTCGTGGACAAAGGTAGATTTGAGGCATATTTGCTCAAAATTTGGACCTGAAATCATGTTGATGGGTTGAAACATGTTGTCTCTTAAAAAAGGAACAAAACTGCATTTGTGGCATTTGCAGGAATTGCAGGCTTGCATTGACGGATATGTCTTTCGATGCACGAAGTGCAAAAACGCAAATTAATAGGAGTGGGTCAATCACTCTGACGGCTTTGTACATCGTACGACCGGCGTTCAAACTCACAATCTTTCGTATGAAACATTTCTCACTGATATAGAACATTTTTGGGTCACACTAGACAACTATATCCCTGTTTAACCACGTGATGTTCTTGCTGGTTATATGAACTTGATGTTATATTATTAATAGATGTTTTTATGCTGATGTTTATAACAGCCTTGTGAATTTTAGCCATCACATTACCTATGAGCAGTCATACAATAAATTGACATATGTTGGCCGTTGGAAACCCTATTTCTCTCCAATGGTCGTATTTCATCTCCGAAACTCAAAACATTAAGGGGACGCAAGGAACATTTCTACAAATCCCGGAAATTATCAATGATCAGTTATAGTTCGACATTGATAAAAAAGAAAATTCAACGTATCGACTATGCAAATCAACTCCTATACTTCCAAAACAGGAAACATCTATGGAAAGGAATTTGGATCCTCTGTGAAGCGAAATCCAGACCAAATAAATGTTCTGTGAACGTTGAAAGTATAAATCGTGCATTTGTATATCCTAGCAGCGATCCTCCTGTTTCACGGATTCCGGAAAACGCTGCCACTGTAACCCGTTATCGAGAGAAGAAATATTCAAACTCCTACGTACAACTAAATCATCCTCTGATATCGGCCCCGACGGTCTATCTTCATCCCTTCTAAAGCATGGTGTCCTTGCTCTAACAGATTGTTTTACTTCCATCCTCAACACATTATTTAGCACGTATTCTATTCCTGGTTGCTGGAGACCTGTTCGTTCTGGACTGTCTCGTAATTTATCCAAGTGCTTCGAATGCACTTTCTCCCTCTCTCGATCTATTCATCCCAGTGAACCCTCGGTCGTAAACACAGATGCCCGACTAGAGTGGGTTCCGTGAGGTATTTAGGAGTTACAACTGACAAACTTAGTGGACATCCCATATTTACAACTCAGTACAGAAACGTCGTGGATTGTCATTTCAAATGCGAAGACTTGGGCAGTTCAACGCCAAGCAAAAAATCATTCCGCGTTTTGTTTATCAATGTTTTTCTCATTCTTCTTTATTGGTCCCCGGTGGTTTCTGCTGGTCTACGAAAAAAAGACTTCAAAATTCTTCGTCTTTTTCGATCAGTCTTGTCTTTCATACCCATTGACGATCTATCTAAAAAACTGTATGAACTTCACTTGTCCGCATATGAAACATTTGCACAGAAAATCCTCTTTGACTCAAATCATCCATTGCACGGCGATCTATCCAAACGCTGCTCTCATTCATCTACGCGTTCTACATATTGAATATTACCCTCTCGCATTAACCTCCACAGAAATTCCCCAGTTCCCTATCTCGCCAGAATCCTTGTAAACCGACAGAGCGTTTCTTCTGAATTTCTTAACAGCTTTGGAGGTTAAATGTTTTACTCATATGATTTTCTTCCTTTAATGAGATGTGTAATTTTTGACTGAAATGCGGCCATCTGTTCACGCAAAAGTCTACACGAGCACAAATAATATTTATGGCCAAAATCGTTCAGTAGGGTTACTATTGAACACCTCCGCCAGAAAGAGTTCACATGCAGTAAGATAAAAAATGCACTTAAAGCGTTTGTCCTTTCGAGTCCATAAGAACACTTATAATTTGTGAGGTTGACTAATACCGAACCAGATAAGATGGTTCGATTCCACAGTAATAAAAGTTGTGATAACCAAGGTAGAAGTCGGACCACAGTGATATGATAAATTCAGATCAACCCTAAGAAAACAATTCCCGAAAGATTGGTGCACTCTCATTTCATCGATCCACACATGATGGATAATCAACCAAGACGGATCAATGGACACCACCGATTAAATTTGGTTGATACTGTTTCGTTGTTATTTCAAGCTTCACTTAAACCACTTCGTAACTGTTCGCTCTGCCAAGCTAAAACTGAATAAATCTAAGGCTTTATCTTTGCGGTTAAATCGCTCGGCCGCTCACATTTTTCACTGATTTACGAGAACCGCCGATCATTGTTTAGGATGATCTTCCCATGAGAAAAGCAGAATCGCGTATGGTAATACAGAATCGTTGATATGAGAGTATTCTTTTTTTCCGTTTGTAATCAGTTACCGCCACGTGACATGTGGGGAGGAGGGGACAGATCAACATTCCTTGCCCTAGGGTATCCTACAAAGAGGCATCACATGTCCGTTGACATCAGACAGCTAGATGATCAATTGACTAGTTTAAGCGAATCCTCATAAAACTACAAAGAACAAGACACGGGTAGCGGAGCTGTCGTGCTTCAGCCGTGGCCGAAGTGTCTGTAACTAAGTCGAGCTCTATTTTGACGAATTAGTCGGTAAGATTTCTATCTTAAGTGGTATGTTACATTTTCAAGGGTTTCACAAGTGACGATTCCCTTGACTATTGCTGCATCAAAAATTAACTGTGCATATCTTAAAATGACGACATTAGACGGAAAAAATTGACTAACCCAACAATTTCGGCAAATAAGAGGTACTTTAGATATTCAAGACTTAGTTTAGTTTACAATACCAGAGACCGTTTGGTTTGGAATATAGACAAGTTGTAACCATTCAAACATCTATGCTCAGTAAGATGAACCGGCAGAGCGCATGCACCGTGGAAAAAATAATCTGCTTTTCACCTTTAAAAGGTTTGAGGTGGCATCGATCTTTAATAAGAGCATTTTACATGATGTTACCACACCAATCAATCGAAAAATGATGCGCAATGGTACCATCCACAGAAACAGGCTTATGAGCTTGCGTGGTTGCGTTCACGATTAACAATGCGTAACTTCCTGACTCATATTATTTGATGCATCGACTGTCATTCCTCTCACTCCCTAATCACCTCAAAGGGAACGAAATTTCTACCACTGAATGTCAAGTCTGCTAGTCATGTTGAAATTATGGTTGACATGGATTGTACCGGACAGACTTCCAGTGAAGTCCAGGTAAATGGAATACGAGTTCAGTAATCTACGTGAGATACGGATAAACAGGGAAAGTGTTATATTGAAAGGGGAAAACACAGGCCAAAAGTACCGATGTGAAACCCATTAGTTTGTAGCCACATGTTACCGGAATACACCACTCTGTGAAGATCAAATCTGTCCTGAATGTGGTGGAGGGGGAATGAATGATGTACAAGTTCTCAGGGGATCATTCAAAGACCATTTACGCTGTCTTTCGGAGAAATGTGTACCTTAGCACTCTGACTCTTGGTACTCAAAGTTCCCTTCCTGAACGTTCTTTGAACGTAATCTGTTCCGATAGCCCCACCTCTGCTGCCAGTTTCTTGAGTGTCGCCGTAATTGCTGGAGGCTGGCGACTGGGTCCTTCAGCTAACAGGACAGACATAACTTTCACCCCGGTGAACTCCCGAAATCAGTCAGTCTGAATACACCCATGGTCTTCCAGGAATTAATTATCCGTGCCGTCCCCCGCAGGTTCTCCGTGAAACGTTCAAGGAGTCATTTGGAAAGCACAGCGCTCGATCCAACACGTGGCACAGGGCCACGGCGTGCGACAGTGGGGTCCGCGCCAACTCCGAGCTGTGCCGTCCAGAAGTGCCGCAACGCCTCCTGCCGGTCGGTCGGGGTGTCGAAACCCGAGATCAGTTTGTCCTTGGCGCCGGTTACTCCATCCTCTCCGGATCAGTTCTTGCCAACTACAACGCCCGCGCACGGCCCTTCAGAAGCGCTGAG